TTCCTTCAGGGTCCAGTGAAAGCCATCTACTGGTCTCCAGTCTCCTTGATGTTTCATCTCCAGTGTTCCTGCACAGCGACTGACTCCTCCCACCAACCTGAAAGGTTCTGAAGAGAAACGAGAGAGTCGTCAGTAAAGAAATTAATATAATTAATAAAATATCAAACTAAAACTTGACTGCTGATTCTGCTTCATTGGTTCTTTATTTTGGTAACACTTTATAATAACTACACACTATGAAGCATTAGTTAAGTGTGAGTAAACACTTAATTCATCATCTTTAAAGTTGTGTTCCTACAATAACACTCAGTATATCATTTATAACAACAGTTATAAATGTTTTATTCTTGATTAAAAGCTCGTCTATTATGTGTTTCATGATTTAGTTTCTTTACTTTATAAATGATGGATTCCCTATTTGTAAATGAAGTATTATATATATTACACACCAATTATTAAGGAGTTGTAGATGATTAATACGATCATTTATAAAGTGTTAGTAAATGAGTAAGAACTTATTTAGATGTACATTATTCATGCATTTATATATATATATATAATGATTTAGATATGCACTAATGGTTAGGGACTATGTTAACTATGTATTAATACTGCAATTCTTGATTCATGAAACACATAATAGACGAGCTTATTAATCAAGAATAAAACATTTATAACTGTTATAAATGATATACTAATGAGTATTAATGTTGGAACAATCCTTTATAAATGATAAATTAAATGTTTACTCATACTTAACTAATGCTTCATAGCGTGTAGCTATTATAAAGTGGTACCTTTATTTCTCTTTTCTTTCTCTATTTACCTGTTGATGTGTGATTTCCTTCAGCCTGGAGTCCTGGAGAAATAGACACATTTGTTTTTTGTCACAAATTCCACTGCATATTAGATTGTTTTGATCCTGCCCCCCCTTTTTCCTACACTACACACACACGCACACACATGCACACACCTCACCACGTGATTGTTTGTTGTCTTTGGGTAGTCTGCTTGTAGTTGTGTAATAGATGTTTGTTGATTTATATTATTGGTTTTAATCAGTAATGTTAATTAAATAAACTGCTATATTTTAAGGAGCAGTTTCTGTGATTATTTCGTACATGTGTTGTAATAACAGCGTGATGTGATTCAAACCTTCACTGTTCACTCTGAACGTAGAATACTACTTTGACTGTTTAATCCACTGTTTGGTTATTGGTCCCTGATCCCAGAGTGGTGCCCCGTTATTATTGATATGTTAATAATCCGATTGATATTAATAATTGAATTAATGTTAATAACTTAATTTTCCTACTTGTCTAATAACAAAACAGGCTTCTGCCAGATCCCAACACGGCTCTGATACGGCTGGTATTTTAACTTCAATTTGCAAAGTTTAGGGCACATTGTTGCATTTTATGTGATTGTGTGTGTCTGTGTGTGTTCTCTGGTTTAAAGATACAACATAAATGTTGTAATAAAACACATCATCTCTAAATCAGAGTCCTACCTGAGCTCCACAGCAACAGCAGCAGCATCAACAGGTGATCCATGACGTCCAGGTAGACCGTCTCTCTGCCCGTCTCTCTGCCCTTCTGTCTCTCTGCCCGTCTGTCTCTCTGCCCGTCTGTGTGTCTGTCCTCGGTGTATATCTGCATACAAAAAGAGGTTGAGCTTTACTGATACTTGTCTTTAGATTTACAGATCACATGCACACCTCTCTGAACTGCGGTTGTTTAAAACTGAGATCTGATTTTACAAGAAGCTGCTGACTGATTGCAGATTATAGGACTGTTTCCATGACAGACTGAGTTGTTCCTATTAGATGAATGCTGTCAGTGTCATCTTCTTATTTCTGATAGTGTTGACATCAGCAGGTACAGCTACTGACTCTACTACTAGAACTACTGCAGTCTGAAACTGACTGTCTCACTCACTTCACTGTATCATGTTTCTGTGTTGTTTCACTTTAATTCGTCCGTCATAAAGCTGCAGGATGTTTTCAGCTCTGAACCCATTTGTCCATATGACTGTCAATCAACAGATCAATATCTCTGAAAGCACATCCAGCCACCTTCCTGTGTGTTGCTATAGTAATCATACATCATGTGTCGTCAGTTGCTTCTACATTAAATATTAAAACCTTGCACCAGCAGGGCCTAACACCATTGGTTAATGTTGTACATCTGGGCCAGGAAGACAAGAGGGTTGTGATCGGTGTCCACAGTCACCGGAGAGGAACTGGAGCTAAAATGCCCCTCAAAATGCTGCAGGGCGACAAGCATGGCTAGAGTCTCCTTATTAATGATGGAGTAGTTCAGCCAGTGGCGCTTGAACTTCGCAGAGAAGTAGCACACAGGATGGCACACATCTCCCTTGCCCTCGCCCTCTTGCAATAGCAAAACACCGGCTCCAGAAGCACTAGAATTGACTTCAAGCTGAATGGGGGGCGAGAAGTTGTGAACAGACAGCACTGGAACACTGTAGAGGAGAGACTTAGCAGCATCAAATGCATGACAACACTCAAGGGTGGCACCCGAATGGACCCTGGAAAGACAGAGCAGAGAGAAGACACAACAAGGCACCTAACACCCCCTCCCTTAAGACCTCACGGGTTGGTAACGGACTCTTTTACACCCTCAGGGTTCTTTAAGGTGCCGTTCACCGACCAACCAACAGGCAAAAGTCCTCAGGCAAAAGCAAACAGTGATTCAGATAAATCTACACCCTGAGCCTGTTTCTGGGCCTAGGCTCCAGTCAAAATGCTAACTTCAAACACATCTGAATAACTCAGCCAGATCATCATACGCAGACTCAGAAATAGAGACATCCACAACTTCAGGATAAACTTCACCTTCAGCCATATTGTTTCCCATGATGAAATCCACACCATCGACAGGAAAACTGAGCAGACAGTCACTGGGACGAAACCAGTAATTGGTTTGGTCTGCACATAAACACGGTGGAGAAGGGCAGGAACAAAACCCCTTTCAGTACCTCTCACCACTGCACTCGCATCACTTACAGACTCTAAAGCACTAAAGGTTAGAGCACTAGAAAGGATGAAGGATTGTGAGCCACTAGTGTCGTGTAGCACCGTCTCTGGGCACTGGTCCTCTGCCTCTCCTGTGAGGGACACAAATCCTATAAAGATTAACAGGTTCAAAGCAAGCATCAGGCACTTTTGCAGCAGCGGCCTGGCCAACGGGGGTCACCGTTTTCACTAACTCCACCCCCTTTGGCTGCTGCCTGGAAGCTGCCTCCTGCTGCTTCTGCCTCCAGGCCGAGCAGTCTGCAATCAAGTGACCAGGATCATGACAAAATTAAAGCTGCAAGCAGCATTGAACCTACCCTCGCACCTTCCCGCACGTCGAGGGTACTGGCAGGACTCTGGTTGATGCGGCCATGCATTTCTGTGACCATCAGACACTGCTTGTATGAGTTAGATTGTATTTCCTGTGTGGACCAGCGGTGTAGCCAGGTCATTTTACCAGGTCTTAAGCCTCTAATGTTATGAGTGTACCTCTGATACAATCATAAATGTAAGCCTGCAAATATTACCAAAAACCTGAATGTGTGTGAATGCGCTTTAGTGTTTGAAACATGACAGACTGTCAAAGTAAATGCAGGTCTTAAAACCAACTGTTTGTTTGTGCAGGTAGCTCTGACAATCACTGCTGAGTGACTCAAAGCTGGAAGAGTCGAGGGGAAATGGCAGAATTTATTGTTCCATTTGGAAAAAGAAACATCTTCATGTAGAGAAATAACTTTAAGCCAAAAAGTGATCCCATGTTGTCTAATTTACAACATGAATTAGGTTGGGTGCAGGTTGATTTTATTGAACAAACTTCACATATGAAATTACTTTACATTACAGCCTGGCTCCAAAACGAACAAAAACTATTCACTGTACTATTTATGATTTGAAAACTATTAATTACTAACTACTCATTTTTGCTCATTTTTGCTTAGTTTGCACATATTTAGATCAGAGAAGTCTTTTTATGGTGGTGTGCCCACGAACCCTTTCAATAACTTCAGTGTTTGGACCACTGTAATTATAGAATTCTGCTTACGTCCAAGGTTGCCAGTAGGTGGCGCTATGACTATGAGTCAATATTGGCATGCAGAAGTTCTCAAGCAATGACTCATCAAGCATGTCAAGTTTGGGACATTTTTGACAAATAGAGTCCAGTTAAAACAACTTGATGTATGTTGGCGAACCATGTAACATTGCTGCCACACCACGTCCACGCCATTCCATGAAACCTCTAGCTTTTGAGAACTTTTCATCACATGTTTTTAAATTGTCTTGACCAAATTTGAAGTTGATCTGATAAATTCTCGAGCAGGAGTTTGTTAAAGTACAGCACCTGGAAATGGCAAACAAACATTCAAACAAAACTCAAACCCGACTTCCGGTTGGGTTTAGAGCATAGTACTAACAGACCTTTTTTTAGGTCTACATATGATACATGTGCTTGCTAAATGTTGTACATCTCGGCCCCTCAAAACCGCTGGCGAAGAATGCGTCGCCACGGCAACAGCATTCCACAAAAGTTCAAAAGTTTCATCGGCTGGTATTATGAACATCTTATATTTATCTGGAACCAATTTGAAGTCGATCTGATTAACTTACTAAGAGAAGCAAGCCAAAGTATAGACTGTTACTTCCTGTTACGAGTAGGTGGCGCTATGACTATGATTCAAAATTGACGTGCAGATGTCTTCAGGCCTGGAGTCCCATCAAATGTGAAATTTGGAAAAGATCTGACCAGTTTATTCATTTACGGCGAAGAATCGAAATTCGCTGAGCCGCCACATCGCCGTCCTTTAACGGATTCTTACAATCTTCACAATGAAGCATTATCAAATGCTTAAAGGCTTTTCTGACTAAATGTGAGATGAATCTGAATAATCTGTGAGGATTAGGATGTCAAAGTACACAACCTGTAACTTCATGTTGCCACTAGGTGGCACTATTACTGGGATTATGTTGTCATATAGATGTGTTCAGGGCCAGGATGTTATGAGATATAAGAAATTTGGAGCAGATTAGGCAATGTACGGCCGAGTTACAACAACTTCCTGTTTCATGGCCAATTGTGTTTTATTGCCGCCGGGCCACGGATACATAGTTCGATAATTTTTTGATCTTTGAGTAACCTTTCACTGCCAAGGTCTAAAGAGCATATACTGACCGAATTTGAAGTCAATCGGGTCAAATCTCTAGGAGGAGGAGTTAAAATATGACACCTTAAACATAAAAATATGACACCGACTTCCTGTTTGGTTTAGAGCATACCTCCAAGAGGGTTTTTAGTCCGTCCCATGATGTTACATATACCTACCAAATTTCATACAGCTAGCTGAAAACCGATGTTGGCGCTATTCAAAAGGGGGCACTGTCGAGCCAATCTGTCACACCGCATGCAGCTCTACATCCATATCCGCACGTGACACATATGTGCCACCAGAGTCACAATGAGGAGAATCCCGCTTTGAGAAAAACGTTTCTGTGCGTGAGAGAAAACTTATCCTCCAGAGTCTGCAGCCTGCTGCAGGGGGGGGTGTCACTTTCTGCTCATTTAAATACATAACACAATCACGCACAATCTTTAAATTCCTCCAACATCACAAGTTCACAGATGTTCAGCCTTACACCATCAACAAGATTGCTTTTCTCTCCAGCAAAGTCAACATTGTGTGGTAATACATCAGAATCGCTGTCTGTAAGCCTCTGGCACTAACTTCTCCACTCTCATTAAGGCGCCTTTAACCTTCTCCTTATACCGGGCTATGTTCCACAGAAAGTGAAGCTTCCTCAGCTTCAACTACCAACTCACGCTGAAGAAGTTTCACCCACACATCTTCTGAATCAACGCAAAGCAGCAGTGATGCGCTCAAACGCACCAAAATATTACAAATATACCAAAGAAATCTTACTGACATCAAATGCGGCAGGAGAACCAGACGTTCACTGTGCACGAGCAGAGGTTGAGACCAGAACTCAAATGCAGCTCTGACTCACACATCTGGAAAGCTGCCTCTGCCTCCAAAATGGCGCAACTCTTAAATCCCTCCCTCGTGGATTTATCTCCTCCCAGGACTACTCCGAAACAAAAGAGGCACAATAAAAACAGAGCCCTGAAGGGAGGACTGATGGAGCCCAGCTGGACTGCTCACCTTTCTGGTCTGGGGGGGGGGTAAACACATCCAGCACCTTCCTGTGTGTTGCTATGGTGATCATACATCATGTGTCGTCAGTTTGTTTCTCCTTCACTGAATAGTTTTATTTTGATTTATTAGTTCTGATGATTTAGTGAACTCCTGATTCAAACTGACTCTGCTGTTGCTCTTTATCAAGTTTCTCCTGTGAGAGATGGAAGAAGTACTCACATATCATCTTATACTTCAGTAAAAGTACTAATACGACAGTGTAGAAGTACTCTGTTACAGGAAAAGCACAATGGACCACTTCAGAATAATATTATTTAATTGTATTATAATGATTGAAGCATTAAAGAGGACCTATGATCTTTTCTGCTTCCTCCCTGTCCTTTAGTGTATAGATAGACTTTATTTCAGACTCAGGGTCCAGATAGACAAATACATCAAATGACATACACAAACAATTAAAGTACGGAGGCCTAGCAATGCCTTACAAAGAGACAGCTGTACCAATGTCTCCACAGCTGGACTGGTAGCGTGTGCTACTAAACCTTATGCTGGTTAAAACAACTATGATCTCATTTTCAGAATCATTAAGTCGATAAATTAATTTGTACATGAGATTTCTTAAAATAGTTTGGAAAGTATTGACTCATGCAGCCACAAATATTTCACTAGCACTACTCCATCTCGGTCTCTTTAACAGTATTCTCATGGCGTCATTATAAGCTACTTGAAGTCTCTGTAAGCTCTTTTTTTCGTAGTTTGACCACAAGTGTGCAGTGTATATAGAATGTATATTATATATATTTATATATATATCTTTGTACGTTAAAAGGTTGTAAAGTTTCAAAGCCTGAAGTCCACGACCAAAGGGAGTTACTCTCCCCTCAGAAACTCTTCTGTATAGCTGCCATACCGGCGAGTTTAACTCCATTTTAATATGTTGGCTGTTGTGGCCATTTATCAGTATTTTCTTTTTTATGTAACTTGTAAGAAAAGGGAAAGAGCTCTGACCATTCAGCTGAATTATTCTCAGTGTCAATAATATACTTCAAGACATTTTGACAGTTTTTCATCACGATTATTTCTCACAGGGAAATTAATACAAATAATCAACATGGCGACGAGGACGGGATCGGAGGAGTGATCTTAGCCAATTCCTCCTCAGACGGGGTTCAAGGTTGCTGCTCCGATGCTGGAAAAAAGAATTCCACCCCGGGGAGAAAGAATTTAGTGATGTAACAGTAAACAGGTATTCTCACGCATTAGGGTGTGTGGGACAGACGTGTGTTGACTTGTAGTGATTAAGACGTTTGGTGTATCCTTTCAAAGTTGTAATTATGCAAGATTGTTCTGAAGATACAGGAGACAATTAACTAGAGATAAGGTAAAAGTCAAAGTGAGTCCAAGCCTGAGCAGCTCGATGCCAGAATCTTCACCTCATTTTAATAAAATGTATGTCAAAGACAGACAGACTGACGAACAAGTGGAAGAACGGATAAAAACAGTGTTTTTAGATTACAACAATTGTAACAACAACAATTCAACTCAGAACGTGTTTGGAGCAGAAAAGAGAAGTTATGTATGATGGACATTTATAGGACAAAAAATACTGCTGCTGCCTCTGTTTCTCTGTCTCCCACACAGTCTGAGTTGTTTTCAGGGCGAGCGCCCACATGTGTCACTGGCACGAGGCCCATGAGAGGAAGGACACGTCTGACTCAACTCCCTGACTTCAGTCTCACGGAGGATCCTGGTAAACTGCACCGCCAATATTATAACATATTATACATATATAATACATATGTTATATTATAATATATTATATTATATTATATATTATATTATATTATATTATATTATATTAGATATTATATTATATTATATTATTTTAAATTATGTTATATTATATTATAATATAATATATTATAATATATTATATTGTATTTTATTACATTATATGATGTATTATTTTGGTATCATTATAGGTTAAGATAAGACTTTATTGATCGTAGTGATCTGAGATGTATTTGAGTAAAAGTATAAACTAGCAGAAAGTGGAGATACGAGCCTCGAGGCTATTCACCTTCCGTCCACCAGGGGGCGATGAAGCGTCAAACCGGAAACAAAGAGCCGAACTGCCGAAGAAGAAGAAGCAGCGGAAGCGGAAATGAGCTCCTTTTTGTTTTGAAAGAGGGAAATTTAAAATAACTCGACGGATCGTGAGAAGTACACAAACAATAACTCGTCACGAAACGAAGCGAAGAAATCCAAATCTAACACGTTTCATCTCTGAATGTAAAAAGTAAGTTCTTCTTTTAATGTTATTCATAAAGAAGATAAATTTAAGTTTGTTTTTTAAAACGTTGTGACTTTTGAGCTTCTTGTAAAACTCACTTTAACGTGTTTCTCTGATTATTCTAATTTTAATAATTTAATAAAAATATGTTTACGGAACGTTAGATGTATTTATATGGTTTGTTAATATGTTCGACGGTAACAGATAAATCTTTGTAGCTATTTCACTTGAATCAGCAGCTTCATTCACTACAAGTTTATCTGGTAAATAGTTTTAATACTTTCATTATATATAATAATTCATTGTCTTTTATCTTTGTTTCTATTTCTTGGCTTTGTTGAACTTCTTCAGATTTATAATTGTACTCTTAAAACCGAAATCTGTATTTTCAGTTTTCATGTCTCTGAAGCACTTTTTCTGTATAAAAAAGATTATTATTATTATTATTATTATTATTATTATTATTATCTTTGCAGAGCCGCGCCACATCAACATGAAGAAGAAGAAGACGACGATGAGGTCTCAGGTCTCAGACGAGTGTGAGTGATCGACTATTAACTGTCACCTCTTCTTCTTTTTCTTCTGCTTCTGTTTCTTCTTCATCTTCATCTTCTTCTGTTTCTTTGTCTTCTGCTTCTGCTTCTTCTTCATCTTCTTCTGTTTCTTCTTCTTCTGTTTCATTTTAAAGCAGTCATCCATAAGTGTTGTGGTTCCTCCATCTTCTGGATGTCTATTTGTTGTCTTCACATGTGTGAAAAGATGTGAATTTTCCTGAATGTTCTTCATGTGTGTGAACATTGAAAATCTAAAAGATTAAACTCAGTAATTTATGAGGAACCATGTGTGAAAGAAGCTTCGTATTTAAATGTGATCACTATGATAATACGGTGATAATACTTTCTGTGTGTTCAGGTTGTGCTCTCTGCAGGCTCAGTGATGATGACCCGGCCATGTTTGGGGAGAAAGTGACTCTCAAAGAGCACAAACTCTCCGTCCACTACTTCTGTTTGGTGAGTCTGTGTTTTAATGATCTGAAGCTCTTCACACAGACCTGTTGGTACTCTTGAGGTATCAACAGGTTCTGGTGGAGGTCTGGAGGTTGTGATGGGGGTTCTGATGGAGGTCTGGAGGTTCTGATGGAGGTCTGGATGTTGTGATGGAGGTCTGGATGTTGTGATGAAGGTCTGGAGGTTGTGAAAGAGGTCTGGATGTTGTGATGGAGGTCTGGAGGTTGTGAAAGAGGTCTGGGAGTTGTGATGGAGGTCGTAATAGAGATCTGAAGGTCCTGATGGAGGTCTGGAGGTTGTGAAGGAGTGATTTCGGTTGTGATGGAGGTCTGGAGGTTGTAATGGATGTCTGGATGTTGTGATGGAGGTCTGGCTGTTGTGATGGAGGTCTGGCTGTTGTGATGGAGGTCTGGATGTTGTGATGGAGGTCTGGAGGTTTTGAAAGGGGGATATAGGTTGTGATGGAGGTCTGGAGGCTGTGATGGAGGTCTGGAGGTGTGATGGAGGTCTGGAGGTGTGATGGAGGTCTGGTGTGATACTTTGTTCTCCTGTGTTGTGTCTCAGCTGACATCTTGTGGAGTTTACCAGCGAGGAGAAGAGGACGAGGGCGTCTTCGGTTTCCTGGTGGACGACATCAAACAGGAGATCCGCCGCTCGGCTCGACTGGTGAGAGATTAAAGAGATCTTTATCTTATTTATCTCTGTATGTTTACTCTTTGTTTACTGTGTGTTTACTCTTTGTTTACTGTATGTTTACTCTTTGTTTACTTTGTGTTTACTCTTTGTTTACTGTGTGTTTACTCTTTGTTTACTGTATGTTTACTGTTTATTTACGTGTGTTCCAGATGTGCAGCGGCTGTAAGCAGAAGGGAGCGTGTGTCGGCTGTAACGTCAGAAGCTGCAGGAGGACGGTTCACTTCCCCTGTGGGAGGAAACGCAGCTTCATCTCTCAGTTTACGGGACTCTTCCCGTGAGTGAACACAGGAAACACCTTTGTTCTATTACTATCATTGCTAGCATTGATAGCATTACTAGCATTGATAGCATTGATAGCACTGATGACCTCTGACCTCCACCGGTTTACGTGGTCTCCCTGTCTCTCTGTATCCAGGTCTTACTGTCCAGACCACAGTCCTACTCAGTCTCTGTGTGGTGGTCTAGACCTCAGTCTGCCTCAGACCTGCTCCGTCTGTCTGGACCCCATCGATCCGGTCCTGAGCTACTCCGTCCTCAAATGTCCGTCCTGCCACTCCAGCTGGTTCCACAGAGACTGTGTGCAGGTCTGTTTTATTTTGTTATGTTCACCAGCCGTAAAGGTGTGGAGTCATAGTGGTGCCATCATAAAAAGAATAAATCATAAAATAATATTAAGAAGAACAGACAAAATAATTCATAAGCAGATAACACAATGTGGGAATATAAAAATGCATTTATTTATGTATATATATTAGGGGTGGGAATCACCAGAGATCCCGCGATACGATATTATCGCGATACTTGGGTCACGATACGATATTATCACGATACTGCGATATTATCACGATATTGCGATTTATTACTTTTTTCAACTTCAAATTATGTCCCCAAAGGAAAACTGTGTCAACATGTTTTATCTAATAAGATAAAGTTTTCAGTCTGTTCATCTCACTTCAATCATTTTTATTGCAGCAAAATAGGATTGTCAAGCAGACAGACTGACCAACAATGTCATAAATGTTGCACCTGACAAACTGAACTGTTTGTATTACTACATAGTCCAACTTAACTAAATGCAAACGTGTGGACTCAGTATATGAACTATAACTTATATAAGTAGGATATAAGAGTTATATAACTCAGTATAACTTACGATGCGTGGACGTCAAGGGCAGAGAGACAGTTATGCGCTGCACTCTCCCCATGAGCCTGGCTACTGTTGGCAGATTTAACCCCTTTGTGAGGCCAGATGTCTCTATCTTTGTTTTGACCATCTTCCTACCAATCACGCTGACCCGGGACCTTTGCTGACCTCACCAGAAAATAACTCAGCACCATCTAGTGGACTGAAAAA